TATATATATATATATATATATATATATATATAGACATATATATATATATATATATATATATATATATATATATATACTCCCTCTGTCCACCATAGATCTTCCCAGACACTATTCACAGGGTCAAACTTTACTCACTTTGTTTGCTCAATTTTACTAGTCATTTCATAAAATAATATAGTCTTGTCACCTCTAGTTTTGTAGAACTTTTTATGTAGTTTATTACTATATAAATTTTATTTTAAAATTTTACTCCTATAATCAATTAAATTGAATTGAAAATAAAGTCGGTCAAGCCTCGTAACGCGTAATGGGAAGATCATACATGGACGGAGGGAGTATATAAAGTAGAGTTCATTTGTTGTAGTGTTGACATGTGGCATTGCCACATGAGCATCCACATGTGCACCCACTAATAAGGTGGATTTATGCATTTCAATTCATTGGTCCATTTATATTTTTTTAAAAGATCTTTGAATACATTCGTATAAAACTTTTTTTATTTTTAAATAATTAAATAAATATATATTTCACCATTATAAAATATACTCCATATCATATATATATATATATACATATATACATATATATATACATATATACATATATATGTGTGTGTGTGTGTGTGTATGTATATGTATATATATATATATGTATATGTATATGTATATGTATAATTATTTTTATATTATCCACAACTCATTTTAGTTTATTACTTTTTAAAAAATGATTATATAAATTTAATCACATATGAATATTTATTAATTAAATACTTTGTTTCAAAAATTTTATCTTATTACATTATTTATTAATTATTTATGAATATTTATTAATTAAATACTTTCTTTCAAAAATTTTATCTTATTACAAAAATTTTTTAACAAAGTAAATAGAATAAAATTGGTTTAATTGATGGGTGACAACTGACAAGTGACATTATGACACATATGCATTCTCTAATGATGTATCATTATGTAATTAATCCACTTTTTATTATAAAGTATATTATTAATTAAAACTATTTTTATTAGTACTTATTAATTTAATGACCATTAATTTTGTAAATTTTGTTTGTTTTTAAATTAACATACTAATATATATTCCACCAGTTTAAAATATATTTTGTTACTATTAGAAAGCTAAAACAAATAAAATTATATTTATAGAATCTCAAAAATTTAAAATACATACGAGCCCGTGCGAAGCACGGAGATAACACTAGTAACCTGTATTTTCAACCTTTTGCATAGGTTATCTCAAACAACCAATACTGACGTCTTTTTAATTTTTAAAATTCAAAAAAAGAAAAAGAAGAAGAAGAAGAAGGGAGCATACAATGTTGCCATAGCCCATACAGAAAATTGCTGCAGGTACCCTCGGTTTTGTGATAAAAACTCACAGGTCCCATCTTTTTTAAAATTATACTCCGAGGTACCTTTAATTATCTGAAAACTAACTCCGGGGAGACTTTCCATCCATCCCTCCGTCAAATTCATTTTCTCCGTTAACTTTTCATCTTCTTCTTCCCAAAAATTGTTATCGGGTACCCTCAATTTTGTAGAAATAACTTCCAGAGTTCCAGGTCCCATCATTTCTAAAAATATACTCCGGGTACCCTAAAATATCCAAAAACTTGCTTTGGAAGAATTTTCCTTTATTATTATTATTATTCTTAGATTATTATTATTATGATTATGATTATTATTATTATTGTGTGACTATTACTATTATTATTTATATTATTATTATTATTATTATTATTATTATTATTATTATTATTATTATTATTGTTATTCTGATCATTATTATTATTACTATTACTAGTGTTACTATTATTACAGAGTATTATTATTATTATTAGTCACTTCTTCATTATCTTCCGCAGCTGTAACTCGCTGCCGCGTTGCCTATTGAGTTGCATTGGATTTTCGCTACACGCACTAGAATAATAATAATAATAATAATAATAATAATAATAAATAATGATAATAATAATAATAATAATAATAATAATAATAATAATAATAATAATAATAATAATAATAATAATAATAATAATAATAATAATAATAATAATAATAATAATAATTGTTGGGTTATGGAACCCGGGGGCCTAGGTAACTAGGCGGATGAGTATCGAACTAAGTCGAGTGCACAAGGTACGGGGTCAAGTAAAAACTGAGGATAGTATTGTGCTAGTTGGGATATCACTTCGATCCAAAGTCCCCCTTCCCTTAGAAGGGAAGAGGTTTATATACAAGTTGCAGCTAGGGTTCCGACCGTTGGTCCGTAATCCAACGGTCTGGGCCCACTAAGATTGGGTTGTTCACTGTCGGCGTCCAACCACATAATTAACCCTAGGGCTTCTATACAAGGTAGGTTACAAGTAGGGTGGCTATAGCAACTCTGCCAGAGGCATGGCAGGAGTCTAATCGTGGGTCCCTTGATCCTGACTTTAGTCAGCTCCCTTGTCTAGGTCTGGTCTGTCGCTGCTCAGGGCCGAGGCCGAGCGCCTGACCTGTCTTCGGAAACCTATGGACGGAAGGCCGGCCTTGGTTGCTCCGAGGATGACCGACCCTGCCGGGGCTGAGTGCACGGTACTGCCGAGTCGCTCTTCGCTAGTCTTTTGTCTTGGTCCCGCCAAGTGGGCCTTGGCGAAGTTGGGCTGGCCGTCTTCCTGCTGGGCTGGATACCCCCATTCCCGGGTATCCATCATGAGTCCCCTACTTCCTCGGCCGAGCGTAGCGAAGCCGAGGGAAGTAATCCAAAAAGTTGAGATTTTGAATTTTTGAATTTTAGTTTTGAGAATCTTGGCCATGTGTAGGAGTCCCCCACTGCCCAACTTGAGTACTGACGAGGGTTGGGGAGTGTTCCAACTGGCAAGATTTACGTGTCAACCTCGATTTCGGAGAAGCATGATTGTACTGCTTGGAAGACGCAACGTCTCTGTACTGTTCCTTTGCCAGCCGTTCACGATGATTCGTGATCGTACGCGTAAGGAAGCGCCACGTCTCTTCGTAATTGTGCCTTTTCGTTGAGTCGGGTCGGATCCCTTTAACGTATAAAATTGAGAATTTTCCCAATCTTCTCCACTTTTTCCATTTTTGCGCCGCAGCTTTGCCGTTGATTTCGTTCACCATCTCCGTTCACTCGCCATCGCCGTCGCAGCCCAACCTGAAGGTTAGTTCACTCTTCCCCGCTCTCATGACGTCTTCTGATTCCAACCCTTCCACCCCCGCTGTCGACCCAGCGGCGGTTTGTTTTGAGGAAATGTACCGTCAAGATCCCTCCCTCCGCCCCGACGGCTTGATGGGAGGAATTGACCATTCTAGGGTTCTGAGTGCGGTGCCTCTCCGTACGTCCGTCACCGTGGCGTCGTCGTCTCAGGCACCGCCCTTGAAGAAGAAGAAGAAATCGAAAGTTGTCCAGGGGAAGAACCCGAAATCCTTACCCGTTACCGTGCTGGAAACGGGTCCGATTACAAATACGGGTTGTCTTCTGTTGGATGTTGACTTTGACGAGGCTCTCCGCTTCGTGGGAGACGGTTACGTGGTGCGCCGACCGCACACAACCAACCATGTCTTCTCGGTGACTTGTCCCGACGCCGAGGTCGGGGTGCACGTGGAGTCCATGCGCTACGGCCTTCGCTTCCCTCCTCACGATCTGATAGTCCAATTCTTGAATTTCTACCGTCTTCTGCCGGGTCAGCTCAGTCCCCACTCCTACTATTGTTTCTCAATCTTTCTGATTAAGTGTCACCATAGGGGAGTTCCCTGGTCTCTGGATTTGTTCCGTTACATGTTCAAGGTTTCCAAAGTGGGGGCCCATGAAGGGAATTAGTATGCCGTCGTTTCTTCCCAGGCCGAGTGTGGTATGGCCGTCTTCCCCTCATCCTTGAAACTTTGGAAGGCCAAGTTTGTCTTCATTTCTGGCTTTCCCGGGGACCGGCACCCTTTCCAAGCTAGGTTTCCCGACTGTCACGCGTTTATCCGTCATCCTCGTCGTGAGGCCACTCCCGAGCTTCTAGCACATGCGCAAAAACTGTTGGAAGATTGCCGGCCTAAACCACCCCACGTGTACACGGTGTGTACGGAGCAGAACTTAGCGGAGGTGGGGGTCCTTATTTCCCTCGAGCGCCAGTTCGAGCTATCCGAAGCCGTGCTTGGGAGTCGTCCGAAGCATGGGCTTGAGGAGAGCGCCCCGAGGTCGGAAGATCTAGAATCGGAGGACAACGGAGAGGAAGATGACGGGGAGGCCGAAACCGACGAAGAATTAGGGCAGCCATCCTACTCCGAGGGGGTTGCTGGTATGGAGCCTTCTAGAGGTCTGTCCCTCACATCAAGGTTTTTCCTGTTTGGTGTCAAGTCTTTTAACTGTTGTTTTGTTTTGGCAGGAGATATGAATCCGGTGGATGTTATTCGCAAGGCCAAGCTGTTGGCCCGCAATCGCAGCAGAGGAGAAGAGGTTCAACAAAAACCACCGTCCGAGGATGCATCTGGATCTGCTGCTTCCATCCCGAACTTGGAGACGGTTCCGACCCGGAACTTGAGAAAGAGGAAGGTTATCCAAGTCGAGGATGAAGATACCGCGTCCGAGTAGGATACTGTTCCGAGCCAAGGTCCGTTGAGCAAACGGCCGACTGGTCCTTAGGATGGGAAGTGCCCCACTTCCTTTGACAAGGTTGATGGGGATGTAAATGCCGAGGTCGAGGTCGCATCCCTGTCCGCGGTGCTGAAGGACGAGGACGAGATCCTCTCGTCCTTGCAAGGGCTGGTGGATGGATTCCACAAAAAGGTTAGCCTCCTGGTACCTTAACTTTTTCTGCTTCCATAGATGACTGACTTGATCTCTCTCAGGTATCGGCGAAATTGAGTTTGATCAGCAAACGCCGAGCGGGGGCTGAATTCTCCTCAGGCGTAGATTTCTTGGCTTTGGTGGAAACGGAGTTGTCTCGCTTAAGGAAATTGGCGGAAACCGAGCATGAACAGGCCGCTGAGCTTGAAATGCAAGCCAAGGCAAAGTCCGAGGAAGTGGTCCGGTTGCAGGGCCTTCTGAAAGAGTCCGAGGAATCGGCCTCCCAATTGACAGCTTCGATGGCCGAGCTCGAGGGGCGGTTGCGCCAATCTGAGGGCCGGATTTCAGAGCTGGACGTTGAATTGGCCGAGGCTGTCTCGTCGCGGCGGTCTATGGAAGTTGAGCGAGATCGGTCTCTTGCCGAGAGGGAACAAGCTTTTGTCGAGAAGGAGCGTGCCATCTCCGACTTCCTTCAGTCCCCATCCTTCAAAGAAGTCTGTCTGGAGAAAATGGCTGCTTATTACGAAGACTGGCACGGGACCGAGGCCGGCACTGAGAAGATGGGGTGGAAGGGACGAAGTGGTTCGAGAGCGGTGTCTATCACGGGATTCAGCTTGTCCTTCGCCGGACCAGAAGAGTAGATCCGTCCTTCCCTCCGCCCGGGGACGACATTCTAGAGATGCACGATCCCAACTTGAACGCCAAGCTTGGGGAAAATCCAGATTTCCTTAGGACGCCCGATCGCGAGGACACGGGTGCAGATGATGCCGGCGAAGAGCAACCCACAAATGCCCTTCCTTAGTGTTTTCCTTGTAATATTTGAAATTTCATCCCTCATTGTAATGAAGACTTGATCACTGTTTTGCTGCATGCGTGAATAGTTGAATAGACTCCCGACATTATTTATTTGAATATATTTAAATTGCGCCTTTTGAGGGACTGATTCTTTGGCTTCCCCACGCAAACAGACCTAACCACAGGACCGTCGAGCTGCGCCAAACACGTGTCACTGCAAATAGTCTTCTTCCCAACCACCGCGATTGTTCATCCATCTTATCTCTTCGCTCGTGGGGCCTATAAATTGGCCTTCTCTTTGCGATGCAAGACTCATCTTTTTTCACCTCCCTTGTGCCAACAATTCCATGGCTCTTAGTGATTCCAGGGAAACAATCCCTTCGCCTTCTCATCAGAAAACCAGGCGTCGTCGTCCTCCTCCCTCCCCGGAGGACGCTGAATCCCGTACAAGCTCATGGTGGTATCGTGCGAGGAAGTTGGAAAGGCGGATTAAACGTCTGCGAAGACTTGTGAATTATCTTCACGGAGTTCCCCAACAACTAGCGCCTTAGGTTGAGTCCGCCCGGCCAGCTGCTGATGCCATCCCCGCGGGTGACAATCACCCGGAAGAGTCTGTCGGCTCTTCCTAAGTTTCCCTATTATGGCCCTCCCCTGTGTATCTTCCAATGGAGGTTTGCAGAATCGGGGGGCCATCCACGTCCTTCGGCGCCCGGGCTTTGTTGGTCCTAAAGTCCATTGCGCCTTAGGACGGGGTGCATCTACCTCCCATGGATTTTAAGACGAGGGAGAAAAGATCCCCAAATCCATTAGGAGGCAGAGAATTTTATGTCTTTTCCTTTCTCAGTTCCGTCGTGCAATAAATGCTGCCGGTGCCGCAACTGTAGCATGTAGGGCTTGTAATAAATGTTGCAGCTTCCGAGAATACCTTTGTAATGGAGTTTGACTTTGTGTGCAATGAATGTCTTTGTAATAAATTCCTTGTTTTGATTATAAATATGATGCGTTGCCCCTTTGCTCGTTTGCTCTCTCTTTTTCTTGCAATATGGCGCTGAGCCCTGGTACTCCTTCTCTCGAAGAGGGAACATCCTTCATTCGGGCTACTCCACCCTGTTCTTTCCTTATGGCAGATTCGTCCTTTCCCAGTTTTGCCACTGCTCCGACTGCGGTGGGGAAATGTACTGATCCGGATCTACCTTCTTTGAGTGAGGATTCTGTCCAAAGTCCTTTCTACCGAGAACCCGCCGCGACGGAGGTTTCACAGAGGTCTGTCCGTTTGGTGCGCAAGGTGGGCACGAACGTGCGCGCCTATCTCAAAGGCTTTCGCCATGCCCACCGGAAGAAAACGATCAGCACCAACCCCAAAGCGCAGTTCGTGGCTGATCATGATGCTTCCTCTGTAGCTTCTTCATTTTCTGAAGAAATAAATGTATACTTTGACCATTCGGGAAACAATGCTTCACATTCTTGTGCTTGAATGATGATGTACTGCCGCCTTGGGCGAGTTTCGTGTAATAAAATTTCCTGCATGTTCTGCTTTCTTTCTCTTGCCTCTTTTTTCTTTTTTTTTGCACCCCAAAGAGTTCTTTTGCGCTCACACCCTCAGCAGGGCGGCGAAAGGTGTGTCCTCAGCAAGACTAGGGGTCGTGGAAGACATCCTAAGCAGGATTGCAAGTTTTTTGTCCTAAGCAGGACCTTGCGCTGCCCTTTGTGCTATTAACAAGTTGTGCCCATTCGGACCTTGTTCTTCGTCTCGTTCAGAGCGCCGATTCCCCGGGTTAAGCCGTGCGGATGGGCTCCCCCCTAAAGGGACACTCGGTAATAGGCATTGCCGAGTGGTGAGACGGTTAAAATTTGTTTCTTGTGATGTGTGTGGGAGCACAAAGGGACTTAGTTCGCGTAAAGCGAAAGACCGCGTGAGGCCAAAAAATCATGGCGTGGGAGCCCGGTAACGCTAAGCAGCGTCTATAAATTGCGTAAAGCAAAACAGAATTCGCGTGGAAGCGAGTATTTCATTAAGTAAGAGATTTTTTTTATAGCTACCGAGGCCGACTGGTTACGGTTCTCAGCGCCTTACATGTAGAATGAAATAAGATTGTGCGTGTTCCAGTGCCTGCCGAGTTCGCGTCCTTCAAGCGTGGAGAGCTTGTAGGTGCCTGGCCTGAGCACAGTTGTGACCCTGTATGGTCCTTCTTAGCTTTTGGCAAACTTTCCCCCTTCTGTAGGCTGACTGGCTTCCCTTTTCCTGAGTACCAAGTCCCCTACTCGGAATTCCCTTGCTCTGACCTTGCGGTCGTAATACTCTTTGACTTGCCTTCGGTAGTTCTCTGCTCTGAGGAAAGCTTGCTCCCGGCGCTCTTCAATGAAATTGAGATCGGCCGCCATGGTCTCCTCGTTTTCCTTATCTTCATAATTCTCTTCTCTCCATGTTGGGATGAACACCTCCGAGGGCGCTCTCGCTTCCTGGCCGTAGCACATGGAAAACGGCGTTTCTCCAGTCGCCTTCCTCGGAGTGGTACGGTATGCCCACAGCACGTTGGGGAGTTGGTCTACCCACGCTCCCTTGTAGGATTCAAGCCTCTTCATGATCCCGTCCATGATTGTTCGATTGGCGTTCTCGACTTGGCCGTTCCCTTGCGGGTAAGCCACAGAGCTATAGGTGTGCCTTATCCTCCAATCTCCCAAAAGTTCATTGAAATCTCCAGCTTCAAATTGGGTCCCGTTGTCTGTGGTGATCTGCTTTGGGACACCATACCGGTAGAGTATGTTGTTGTTCACAAATTTCGAGCACTGTTCCGAAGTTCCCCCTACCAGGGGTTCGGCCTCAATCCACTTTGTGAAGTTATCGACGGCCACAATGATCCATCGGAAATTGCCAGGTGCCCTCGGCATTAGTCCTATAAGGTCTATCCCCCAATGAGCAAAAGGGATCGACGAGCTGATGGGATGATAGGTGGTTCTCAGTCTTCCCGGAACGATCTGGAATATTTGGCACACTTTGCATCGCTTGGCACGCTTGGCACAGTCCTTTACCATAGTCGGCTAGAAGTATCCCTCCAGGACAATGCGTCTGGCCATGGAGAAAGGACCCTGATGTGCCGCGCATACTCCTTCGTGGACTTCTTCCATGATCTGCCCCGCTCGGGCCTCGTCAACACACCTTAGAAATGTGCCATTATATGATCTCTTGTATAGTCGGCCATTCTCAATGACATAGGTCGGTGCCCTCCGTTTGATTAAACGGGCCGTCGTCTCATCGCCGGGGAGAATCCCATCCTTCTTGTATCGGATCAACTCTGCGATCCAGCCGCTGGCTTCCTCGATGATAACAGAGACGAGCTACACATGAATGCTCGGAGATCCCAGGTCCTCAACATGGGCCATCTTGGAGATGTGCTCGGGGCTATCGTTGCTCAGTTTGGAGAGTACATCGGCCTCGGTGTTTTTTGCCCTCGGGATCTGTACAAGCTCGTATCCTTTAAGAATTTTGAGCAATTCCATGGCCGCTTCCTTGTATAGACGCATCCGTTCCTCCTTGGTGTCGAACTCTCCTTTGATTTGATTGACGACCAGGCGTGAATCGCACCTAATCCTGACGTACTCCGCCTTCAGGTTGAGGATGAGCCTCAGGCCACTCAGCAACGCCTCATACTCGGCTTCGTTGTTGGACACTCTGAATTGGAATTTTATTGCATGATAGGAGCGGAATCCTTCAGGTGATTGGATTACCACGCCCCCACCGCAAGCCTTTTCAGCTGATGATGCATCAGTAGACAAAGTCCACCACTCGCCCTGCTCCTCCGTTGGTATGAGGTTGTTGTCTCTTGCCGTGCATTCCACCATGAAATCTGCCAAGGCCTGGGCTTTGATCGCTGTCCTCGGCTTCATCTCTATCTGATACTAACTCAGATAGACAGACCACTTGATGACCCTGTTAGAGGCCGTTGGATTCCTGATGATAATGCTCAGGGGCTGATGACTCCTCACCTCCACCTCATGGGCTTGAAAATAATGGTTCAGCTTCTTGACCGTATTGACGACGGCCAAGATTGTTTTTTCTACCACCGAGTATCTGAGCTCGGCATCCCTCAAGGTTCTGCTAACATAATAGATGGGGCGTTGAGTGTCCCCTTCCTCCCGTAACAAAACGAAACTTATGGCTCCAAGGCTGACGCCCAAGTAGAGGTACAGCTTCTCGCCCTTGATCGGCTTTGCTAACACCTGTGGAGTTAGTAAATATTTCTTCAGTTCTTCGAATGCCGCCTGGCACTCGGGTGTCCACTGGAATTGTGGAACCTTCCTCAGCGTACCGAAGAAGGGGATACTCTTCTCGGTGGATTTTGATAAAAATCGGCCGAGTGCGGCCATCTTCCCCGTCAGGCGCTGCACTTCTTTTATGGAGCGGGGGGCCTCCATGTCTAGGATCGCCTTGACCTTCTCGGGATTGGGTTCAATACCTCGTCGGCTCACAAGATAACCTAAGAACTTGCCACCTTCTACACCAAACGTACATTTCTTGGGGTTAAGACGTAAATTGAACTTGCGCATAATAGAAAAAACCTGGGATAGGTCCTCCGCATGGTCGGAAGACTGCTTGCTCTTGACGATCATGTCGTCCACATATGCTGCCATCGTCTTTCCCAAGACCGAGTGGAACACTCGGCTGACCATCTTTGTATACGTTGCTCCGCTGTTCTTCAGCCCGAATGCCATCACCAAATAGCAATACACCCCCTCCGGGGTGAGGAACGCCGTCTTCTCGGCATCTTCGTCGTGCATGAACACTTGGTGATATCCTCTGAATGCATCCATGAAAGACATGACCTCGCACCCGGCTGTTTCGTCGATCATTTGATCAATGTTGGGCAAAGGGAAGTAGGGTGCTCTACAAGGTAGGTTACAAGTAGGGTGGCTATAGCAACTCTGCCAGAGGCATGGCAGGAGTCTAATCGTGGGTCCCTTGATCCTGACTTCAGTCAGCTCCCTTGTCTAGGTCTGGTCTATCGCTGCTCAGGGCCGAGGCCGAGCGCCTGACCTGTCTTCGGAAACCTCTGGACAGAAGGCCGGCCTTGGTTGCTCCGAGGATGGCCGACCCTGCCGGGGCCGAGTGCACGGTACTGCCGAGGCGCTCTTCACTGGTCTTTTGTCTTGGTCCCGCCAAGTGGGCCTTGGCGAAGTTGGGCTGGGCCGTCTTCCTGCTGGGCTGGATACCCCCATTCCCGGGTATCCATCAATAATAATAATAATAATAATAATAATAATAATAATAATAATAATAATAATAAAAGGAAAAAAGGAAAACCCCTCATAGTAACTTTTTGGATATTTTAGGGTACCCCAGAGTATATATTTTTTAAAAATGATGGGACCTGAAAGTTACTTTTATAAAATTGGGGGTACCTAAAAGCAATTTTTAGAAAGAAAATGATGAAAAGTTAATGGAGAAAATGAATTTGACGGAGGGAAGGACGGAAAGTCTCCCCGAAGTTAGTTTTCGGATAATTAAAGGTACCCCTGAGTATATTCAAAAAGATGGGACCTGTGAGTTCTTATCACAAAACCGAGGGTACCCGACAGCAATTTTCTGTAGCCCATAGGCTATTTTAATGAAGAACCAAAATTGATCCAAACGACACAATTATTCCGTATTTTAAATCATACTCTCAAGTGGGACACCATTGGATCACATCTAATAGAGATTTTAGATCTTTATTACCGACCTTTTCTGGGTGACACGGAGGATTTAAAAAAGTTTGGAACCATCAATTTTTTGAATGGAGCATTGTACGAACCTTGAGTCATCCCATGACATTGAATTTCAATGTGTTACAATTCTCGTACGGATTACAACGGACAGAGAAGATGAACGGCCCCGGAAATAAAAAATAAATGAAATTCTGAATTTATAATTTATTCAGAATATTACAAAATAAAAAAAGTTGGAAAATAAAAATTTATATCTTCAAATGGCCTTGTTGTACGAGGACATTAAGCACTGGACAGCGAGGACGTTAAGCACTGGACAACGAGGTCTTTAAGCACTGAACAACGATTCAAGGACGTTATGCACAGGGCTGCGAGGACATTATGCACAGGGCTGCGAGGACATTATGTACTAGGACAGAATGCATCGAGGTTTTTATGAACTAGTCCTGCAAAGAAAACACCACGGAAAGACAGCGGAGTCACCAGAGCTGTCCTTAAGGTAGTAGTGCCCGCCTATCGTACCGGAAAAAACGTGGGCACTCTCCTCCCAGGATAAAACCGCTATCGTGTCACTCCAAAATTTTGCTAAAATTGTGACGGAAAAATTCTGTCGCAAACCCTTTGTTTTGGTCACAGAGTACAAAATTGCGACAGCTCGGCGACAGAATCATTCCGTCGCAAATAAATTGTCGCATTTTAGATATTTGTGACAGAAATTTCATTCTGTCACAATTTTGCGACGGTGTTAGCGATGGGCAAACGAATTTAAGAATCTGCGACAGAAAACCTAGTCCGTCGCAAACTGCGACGGAATTTGCGACAACAGATCAATGCTTTTTATTTTGTACCCTGCGACAGTATTTGCGACGGAAAATGTCCGTAGCAGATAATCCGTCGCAAATTGAACTAAATGTTGTAGTGTGTGTGTGGAGATTGTACGGACCAACCACACACCAACGAACAAGAACAACGTAGGAATGTTGGCAACCAAAAACTTTAAAGGGGATGGCCGGAAAATTTGGCCGGAAGATCAAGAGCTCTCTCAAAAAATTAACAAGAAAGGTTTTCTTTCTTTTTCCTTTTCTTTCTCACGTGAAGCGCACAAAAAAATGGAGAGAGCCCTTTACCTTTATAACTAAGCTATTTTAAAAAGGTGTAACCTACACACCATTAAGGCTTAGTATTAAATATGGCATTTGTGGCACACTAATGGTGTGGTAATGGTGATTTATTAGCCATTAACACGTCCGTTACGCTACGCTCCTGCTTATCAAGATTAAGATCACCATTTTGATTTGATTCTAACACCTCTTGTGAAAGATCTTGTCTGGGCAGGATGCTAATTTGGGGATCAGAAGATGTTTCAGAAGGTGCCTCTCCATTATATGCGTTCGGAAGTAAGTTTGAATGCAATTGCTTTGCATCAAGTTCAAGCTTGTCCTTAGAATCAAGAGAGGGACTTTTATGAGCATCAAACACAGTCTCCCCTACAACAGAAACCTCAAGGACATTAACATCACTGGTTTTTGCTGTTTCATTCCCATTGCCCCTATCCTTGCCACACTGCAGTGCTCGCTTAACAAAGGTCAAAAGAGCCTTAAAAAACAACTGAGGTCCCTCATTATTTATTCCCCCGGGGATATGAATGAATCTATTTCCTTTATTTCTAGATTCCAAAATCCTTATAAAATCCCCTCTTTGATTTGAATCAATAGCAGCTTCTAGTGTTCTCTGATCATCCAATTTAACACAAGCCCAAGCAGAACCCGAAATCAATCTAGGAAGAGTCTCTAGTACCCAATTGATTGAATCTAGATCAAACCATATATGAAAGTATCTTCGCCCCCTATCTGTAATGCTAAAAGTCTTATTGTAGACCGAGTAAAAAAGCTCAAATACCTTATTTAGAATTCTGAATCTAAATCGGGTGTTCTTGCTAGGCCATGAAGATGCTTTCTCGCTCTGACCCTGTAAAACGATTCTCTGGTCTGCAAGCACATATGAGTTCTTCAGGTGTTTAACAAATGGAGATTTGAACGGCCATCTAGTGTCTCGTCGGTGATGCTTTGACCTCCCGATGTAGTGACCGAATCAAGTTCTCTGGTAAGACTTGGAAGA